AGAAGAAATTGTGTTATTCAAGTGAACTTGTATTATTATGGGAAAATCCAGGGCGAAAGGTTGTATTAATAATAAATAAATGGACAAAAAATAGTAATTAGTAAAAGATTCACCAAAGCTTCCCACATTCTTACCAATTTCAACGTTGTCTGGTGTGTTGGTAATCACTGGCCAGCAAACACAAGACAGTTTGATCATTGTTGGAGTAACAAAGCAGATGCACTATTCCTTGAAGTGCTCCACCCAGTGTTCAAGATATCTTCATGGGTTTATAATTTGTGGGCCATCAGCTCTGAGAGTTGCCTTAAGTGAATCGGAACAACTTCTGACAGCAACCAGGTGCAAAGTAATTGGACATAGAGTCACAGCCAAAGATTTAATCATGCTAGATGAAAGACGAGTTGGCGACCCGCCGAAATTTGTAGGTGAAAACTGGCTAAATTAACAAGACGGCGAGTAGGGCCCCCTGCGACCTTGCAAAACTTCGTGCTTAGAAATATTTAGCTTCTCGTGAAGGACTGATTCGTGATAAGCGGAAAGGTTTTTGTTAGGGCTACCTTCGATTTGGTGGACAGGACTGCTCTATGGGACTGTCTATTGAAGAAGGGTGTGTCTGAGAAGTTTACTAACACCCCAAAAGCCCTATGGACAACCACCTCTCTCCTCTGTCCCACTTGAGCAGTGGGGTTAGACAGAGTTGCCCAATCTCACCATTCCCCTTCAACTTTGCCATCTATGACATTCTGGAAACAGCTCTGATGGATGCAAGTAATGGCGGTATGGATCCGTTGCTGGAGAAAGACTTCTCGACCTTGAGTATACGGATGATATTGTCTTACCGTGTGATGAAACCCAGGCCATGCAATCCACACTTAATCAGTTGGCAATCAATGTCCGTAGGTACGGTATGTGCTTTGCACCTTCGAAGTGCAAATTACTTTTACAAGGCTGGCAGGACCTTGATCCTGTATTCACCCTGGGTAATGAGCAGATAGAAGTAGTCGAGAGGTTCGTATATCCGGGTATCTGCATAAGTGCCAGTAGTGACGTGTGTAATCGGATCAATTCGCATATAGTGAAAGCCAAAGAGGCTTATGCCAATCTGGGTCATCTTTGGCGCCTTCGTGATGTTAGTCTGGCTGTATAAGGTCGAATCTACAACGCGTCGGTGAGAGCAGTTTTGCTCTATGCTTGTGAAACCTGGCCTCTCCGAGTTGAGGATGTTAGACAACTCTCTGTGTTTGATCATCGTTGTCTCTGAAGGATTGCTGACATTCAGTGGCAACACCATGTTAGTAATGCAGAGGTTCGGCATCATGTGTTCGGCGCAGAGACGATAATGCAATTGGTGTCACGATCTTGAAACACCGACTTCGGTGGCTTGGACATGTTCTACGAATGTCGTCCCAGAGAATTCCACGCCATGCATTATTTGCCGACACTGGGAGCGGTTGGGAAAAGAGGAGATGGTCAGTGTATGACATGGTGTCGTAGTATGAAATAAAGCTGCAAAGGGCTGGCTTGTGTTGGACCTTCACGACTCCCTGGCTGGAGTCCGAGAGATGGTGCTACACAGTGGCTAGAGAGGTTATCAGATATTGCTCAGAATCGAAGTCAGTGGCAATCCTGCTGTAACTTTCATTTACTTCATAGAAAGTGACCGTAGCTTTTCAAACTGAAAGGATTATTTTCGGTTGTACCTTTCTGTATCTCTATTATTATTTCAATACCATACACTAATTTGTGGTGGTTATTGTCCTTTTTTTTCTTTTTGCACTCACCTTACATTCTTTATCTCTTCCCTTTCTCATTATCATTGTGTGGCGTATATGTATCTGGTGCCCCCTTGTACCAATATTTATCTGTTCAAATAAATAAATAAGAAAGTTTTCTGCTCAGGACGTGGATCTATTGACTCATTTCTGCACTCCACCAAATACTGGGACACCACACTTATTGCAGATCAAAATCGTTGTTTTGATATCAGAGCTTCTTTGATTCATTGGGAAAAACGGCTTTCAAACTGTCTGTTGAAGGAGGGTGTCTGGGAAAGTTTATTGACATCTTGATGGCTTTATACACAAACGTGCCAAACAGAGTGAGACTGTTCAACCACCTCTTTCTGTTGTTCCATCCCTACAGTAAAGTTAAGTGTTGTTCCTCTGCAACTTTCATACTGATGAAATCAAAGGAACAGTTCCAGGAGAAATGCGTTGTGCGGGTAGTAGGGTCTGTCACTTAACCTGGAGATGGACTTTTCAACATTGAGTACGCGTATAACAGTCTCACAAACTATCCCAATCACATCTAATCAGTTAGCATATATTTTTAATACGTATATCATGTTTCTTGAACCTGCTGAATTTGAACCACTTCTGAAAAACTGGCTGGAGCATATGGCTCCACTGAATTTCCTTTAAATCTGTTAGTAGTCGAAAATTTCGTTTTTTTAAGCAGTGGGTGATAAAATAACATGACAGGTGAAATCAGTACATGCGTAGTGGAAGGCAAAACAGCGTATGTTAATATCGAACATATTTGGCACCGTTGTGATGCTTGCCTCCCTCTGTGTAAGGATCAAGTTTACAATTGATTAGCCGGGAGTCTTCCTGGCATCTTCAGCTACTTTGTATTCAGTGATCATTTCCTCCAAGTGTTTGTTATCATCAGGTGGCAACGTATTACTGATTCTGAGATTCTGCAATGAGTATTCGGCCACAGTGATGGACGAAAAATGATGTCACCATCTTGGAAAAACCGGCAGCACATTATTTAGCACCGAGGTGGTCGCTTGATGATATGGTCTCTTAATATGAAAGATTCTTGCTCGGGATAGGCGTCTGCCGATCCGTCAAAACTCCTAGGTTGCAGTCCTAGGGATGGTGCAATTCGGTGGCGTTAGACGTTGTCAGATAACTCATATAAACTGATTGTAACCCCAGCTTAGTAAGCTGAACCACCCTAACCAAGTCTTACTGGCTGTAATTTTTACCGAACTATTTCTATCACATGCTATCCTTGTTTCATTTATTTATTGTAAAACGCTATTGCTCTTCATTTCACAATATTATGACATCACATACGTGAACCTCACGTGCTAGTATTGTTCCTCAATGTGACCAAAAGACTGGCGTCTTCGTCAAATAGGACTATATCACCTGTATATTCCAAATCAACAAGTAATTCTGGTAGATCAATGCCTGAACAGTTGTTGAAATGGATATCTGTAATAAGTCGGTAAAATGCAAAAAAAGGATAGCCGTGACAAACATTTGGGGTTGATAATTCTATTGGCATTATATACTTATTCGATGATTTTCAACAATGTCAATCAACTGAAAAATTCCTCTTGAAAATAAAGTTATTATATTTCCTAAGTTACTGTACTTCGGTGTATCGTGTCACTCCTAACTATGTCTATCTTTTCTTTTTCTATTCATTTCAACAGATTTCCGAGTTCTGAATTGTGCATTTTGCAACAAAGTATTTACTAAACACTGTAATTTGAACACACATATCAAAGCAGTTCACAAAGGTCAGATTCTGTTGTTGTAAATACTTTTTGTCTGTAATGCGTTTTTACCCTTGTTTTCCTTCAATACCTACTCAACTGTTAGGGTTTTTGATTATCTTTTAGGTGTAAAACCATTTGAATGCACTTATTGTTATAAAGGATTCACTCGAAACTCTGACCTCCATAAACACATCGACGCTGTTCACAAAGGTTGGCTAGTGTTTTCTACTTCAGGTAACCTTTCTATATAGGTCTTAAGCCATTCGGATGTGAAGTATGCCAGCGGAATTTCTCTCAGAAATCAAGCCTAAAACGACACATAGAAGCAATTCACGAAGGTAAGTCGATTCTCAAGGTAGATAAAGTAGCATAAGACTGCAGCTAAAATCTGATAGTTTTCGGCATATAAATATTTTTCGAATGATGGTTATGTTCAGCTTCTAGTTCTGCAAAAGTTTTGGTTTGATGCATTGTCATATCATTGTCTCGCACCATAACAATCTAGATGAAACAATCGACCGATTAATAGACATTTCAGTCTTCTGAAAACCCTCTTTCTTCCCTTTTTAGGTATGAACTTTGACGGCACCACTTCTCCAGATAGAAAAGGCTTTAAATGACGTTGAGGTCTGAGTATGTTTGTGGTTAAATTTAAAGATATATCGTCACAAATTCCCTGGATTTTACCCTAGTGAAATTATTAACTTAAAGAATACACTAGATTACTTTTCATTTCCGTCCTCGATCAACATTTACCAAAATGTATGCTGTCTTCTTAATTTTAGGGCTGTCTAGAAGTAAAGCAAACACAAATTCTGAACAAGACTTCTGCTAAATAGATGGATTCATAAAGACTAAACTGGTCCAGACTTTTTTGAAATGTTCGTTCTTTATGGCGTCCTCAAGCTGTAGTATTCTATTGTCTCCAGTAATTCTAAGTCGGAAAGCATGCGGCGTACGCAGATAGTCAACTAAATGAATAGTTGAGTTCATACTTCTAGGATTATTAAACATCAACGCCAGTATGAAGTTGAAGATATATTCGAGTAACTCTGCTAGTTTCAAGGAGCTCTACTTTTAGGTCAAGGTTTCTCTAAATCGCATCGGTTTATGAGAATCATGTGGAATGTACCCTATTTGAAAAGATAACGACATAGAATTTCGACATTTATGTAAAAGCAATAATTTTGTGTACGGAGTTTTTTTAATCAGTTTTGCTGTTTTCTTTTGCAGATCCTCGGCATCGCTGAAGAAAAACCAGATTGTATAATCCTCTCCAATTTTCATATGATTTCATGTTCAAAAATATACATTTATTATTCTCTCAGATTGTGCTATTTCTAACCTTCCGGTCCTCCGATCTTTGAAAAATAGGGAGCTGAACGACAATGATTCGAAAGTCTCATGCATGGTAGTAAAGGATAGATACTATAAGCAGACGTGATAAGAGCTCTGTAAGAATTACTGAATAAAGAAATACTTAGAATAATATGCAAGGATAATATATTTACAAGAAACATCTTATGTACATGAACTTTGACAATCTGCAGACATGTAGCTTCATCTAAGTTTAGATGCGTCACACCTGGGTTTTCCTGGTACATAGGTAGGAACCTGAAATGATAAAAATGGATGTTAGATTATGTCGCATATTGATTGCTAGACCTACAGAACCACATGGTTACGAAATATGGGGATATTTCGGAAGCCTACACGAAATAGCTGATAACGGATGATCATTTAATTTATTTGAACACATAAATATTGGTACAAGAATGCGCCACACAAAACAATGAGAATTTAAGGGGAAGGAGAAAAAAAGAGATTGATGTAAGGTGGTGTAATAATAATAATGGTAAAAATGGTGGAACAGAAAGGTACAATCAGAAATCTCTCAGTTAAAGGAGACACAACCACTTTTTCTGAAGAAAGTAAATGAAAGTTACAGCAGGATTGTCACTGACTTCTATTCTGAGCAATATCTGATAACCTCTCTAGCCACTGTGTAGCACCATCTCTCGGACTTCAGCCAGGGAGTCGTAAAGGTCCAACACAAGCCAGCCCTTTGCAGCTTTATTTCATACTACGACACCATGTCATATACTGACCACCTCTCCGCTTTTTCCAACCAGTCCCAGAGTCGGTAAATAATGCACGACGTGGAATTCTCTGGGACAACATTCGTAGAACATGTCCAAGCCACCGAAGTCGGTGTTTCAAGATCGTGACACCAATTGCATTATCGTCTCTGCGCCGAACACATGATGCCGAACCTCTGCATTACTAACATGGTGTTGCCACTGAATGTCAGCAATCCTTCAGAGACAACGATGATCAAACACAGAGAGTTGTCTAACATCCTCAACTCGGAGAGGCCAGGTTTCACAAGCATAGAGCAAAACTGCTCTCACCGACGCGTTGTAGATTCGACCTTATACAGCCAGACTAACATCACGAAGGCGCCAAAGATGACCCAGATTGGCATAAGCCTCTTTGGCTTTCACTATATGCGAATTGATCCGATTACACACGTCACTACTGGCACTTATGCAGCTACCCGGATATACGAACCTCTCGACTACTTCTATCTGCTCATTACCCAGGGTGAATACAGGATTAAGGTCCTGCCAGTCTTGTAGAAGTACTTTGCACTTCGAAGGTGCAAAGCACATACCATACCTACGGACACTGATTGCCAACTGATTAAGTGCGGATTGCATGCCTTGGGCATTATCGCACAGTAAGACAATATCGTCCGCATACTCAAGGTCGAGAAGTCTTTCTCCAGGCAACAGATCCACACCACCATTACTTACATTCATCAGAGCTGTTTCCAGAATGTCATCGATGGCAAAGTTGAAGAGGAATGGTGAGATTGGGCAACCCTGCCTAACCCCACTGCTCGAATAGAACAATGGAGAGAGGTGGTTGTATGCCCTCACTCTGCCTGAGGTGTTTTTATATATGGGGCTTTAGGATGTTAATAAACTTCTCAGGCACACCCTTCTTCAATAGACAATCCCAGAGAACAGTCCTGTCCAACGAATCGTGTGCAGCCCTGATGTCATGAAACACTACGATTGTTGGCCTTTGATAAGTATGACGGTGTTCTAACATTTGGCGGAGGGTGAAGATATGATCAATACATCCTCGACCAGAACGAAACCCAGCCTGCTCCTCGCGAGTCAATCTTTCTCGGGTTTTGAACAACCTACGAAGTATGACGGAAACCAATAGCTTGGACGCAATCGGAAGTAGACTTATCCCCCGATAGTTGTTACAGGAACGACGTGAACCCTTTTTAAAGATAGGGACAACTATCGACTCATTCCATGACGTTGGTACACTTTCTAGTTCCCAAACCTTTGTAAACAACGTCGTCAGTTCCTTAGTCAGAAAGTCACCACCATCTTTAAAAAGAGCCGGGGGTAAGACATCTGGGTCAGGTGATTTGTAACGCTTCAAGAGTTGGAGTTCCCTGCGGACTTCCGCCTCATTTGGTGGATCAGTTTGGGCACCCGGGCAGTATCACAGCCCTCACACATACCAAATGAGATTTGTGTGGCGCATTTGTATTTGGTGCCTCCTTGTACCAATATCTATGTGTTAAAATAAATAAACATAAATAAATGGTGGATCAGTCGTCACCGGCCATGGAGGGCAGGACAGTCTGACCGATGTTGCCGGAGCAGCAGGCCAGTTGAACTGCCCTTCGAAAAATTCTGCCCATCGTCCAAGACGTCGATGGATGTTAGTGATTGGCATCCCATCATCCTCGCAGATTGTTTCACTCACACCAGACTTCTTGCTGCCAGTGGCTCGGATGAGTTGGAAGAGCTTCCGGTAGTTACCAGATGCAGCTGCTGCTTCCAGCTCATTAGCACGCTTCGACCACCAGGCTTCTCGGTCCTTACGCAAGCTTTGCCCAATTTCCTTACGTAACATCCTTCGTTTATGGTCAAACTCACGGTCACCCGGAGTAGACCGACGGGCTTCAATGAGTTGTAAGGAACCAGAAAAAACCCAGTGCTTAAAGCGGGACGTTTCGCAAACCCACAACTGACTGTTCCCGCCATTTTCATGGCGTCATGCAATTGCAACCAATGCTCATCTATACTTTTCGGTGGAGTGGTAGCTAGCTAGGTTCGATACTTACTTGCAACAGAAGTTGCAACCAGCTTGCTAACATCAATCCGTTGATGGCGGTCACTTCGTTGTCCACTGAAAAGTAAGGCAAGATTGGCGCAGACCAAGGCATGGTCAGAGTCCAGATAGGTACTCCAAAAGGAGCGGCAGTCTTGTACACAACCACGCCAGCGGTAGCTGATCGCGATGTGATCAATCTGAGTCCAGGCTTGAGATGCAGAGGGAGGACGCCAGGTGGCACATCGGCGATGACTGTGCCGAAAGTTAGTGCTAGCCAGAAACAGGTTGTGGTCTGTGCAAGTTGCAGTAGACGGTCCCCGTTATCTGACCTGCGACCAACGAGTCCCCATCGGCCACCTAAACGACTCTCTTCTGTGCCTAGACGCCCGACCTGAGCATTCAAGTCTCCGGCTAGTACTACAATATCTGTCGAACGCACTTTCTGGAGAAGAACAGATAACTGGTGGTAAAACTCATCCTTGATTGCATCCGGGCTGCAATCTGTCGGGGCATAGGCGGAGATGACGAAAAGACATCGTTTCTCACGCCGATTTCTTCTCACTTTGATGGAACTTTCTAATCTAACAGCACATAACCGACTGTTAATGGGGATCCAATCGACTAGTGCTGCCTCAGCTCTAGCGCTTAGTGCGACACCAACGCCAGCAAGACCAGACGAAGATGCCACAGGGTCCCCGGATAAGCGCACGTAAAACAAGCTTTTCGAAGCGACAGATGGAGATCGAATTTGTAGTACTTCGCCAGAGTCTTGAATACGGGTCTCGGATAGACAACAAACGTCATATTAAGACTTTCCAAAGACATAGCCAGCCCTATCTGTTGTCCGACCTGCATAAGTGTGCGAACGTTGAAGGCAGCCAGTTTGAATGGTGCACGTGGTTTCAGAAAAACTGCTTCAGTTCTCGTATTCGGTGGTAACATACAATTTTCAACCGGACAGTGACTCGAGAACGTTTAGATACAGTCGAATTTCCACCAAAGACGAGCTGCTGCATAAACGAAAAAAAATAAGTATAGACGGAGTAGGAATAAAAGAGGGTGAATAATGATGTAGTAAATAATAATAATAATAATAATAATAATAATAATAATAATAATAATAATAATAATAATAATAATAATAATAATTTGAATCATTTGATTGTTATTCGGAGCGAGAAATGTAGTTTCCACAGATAAGAGAGTTCATCATTTGTGTGTGGGCTGTGATACTGCCCGGGCGCCCAGACCGAAGCAGGTGGCTATCTAAGGGGGCCACACACCGAGCCTTTGACCTAAAGGTCTAACCCGCAAGGCAGTGGAGCATCGTAAAGAGATGCATTCTCATGGTAGTCGGTGACCGAAAATTGGTTCATACGCCATTCGTTCCCGCAGGATACTGGAGCCAATGTGCACCATTGGTTTGGGATCCGGTTAAAGCGCCGGACATTCACTTTTCGTCCTCTTATTTTCGTAAACAACACCCCCGCCACGAGAAGGCAGTGAGTAGGACTTCCCTGGCAGAGGCTGTATACGCGTGGCCATGTGAGGGTATTTCGAGAGGGAGGGCGGACCCACCCCGCTCTCGGCCGTACCAGGGCATTTGGGGCATTTGATCATTTACAGCCAAAACAATTTGTCTATGGGAATAGTTTCTATTGAAAAAATGTTATCATTATGCCTATTTAAAAATAATAAGTTGTAAGCTTTTGGGTCTTTTAATTCCTCTGCGTTTGTAATATGCTCATATTTGATTTCCCTAACTTGAGTTTTTGAGATGTTAATTAGTGGTCAACCTGATACACAGCTCAGATAGTTTTCATCTATGCCAAGAACTACCGTGTATTGTCTATATCACATCACCATATTCACATCCGTTATCCGAGTTACGTCTGCAGTCATTGTGTTTCTAAGCTATGTTAAGGTTATGGAAAACGATTAGATCTACATCAATTTAATGCGGATGAAGGAAGCATGACTTACGGTTTGTCTTAGTTGGTTAACTGAAGTATCTGTAAAGGGAAAGGTCGAACGTAGCTCCGTATTCTGTTGAGAAAAAAACAAAAACTTAAAGAACATCATATGAAGCTGTTACTAGATAAAGCTTATCTCACAAATTTTATAGAACTGACAAACAACTCGATGAGAACTCAAGGATAATAACTACCTAAAGAATTCCAATGCGAACTTACTAAGTGGCTTGTTTTATCGCCGAGTTCATTGTCGGGTAAGGTCATGTGTGCAACTTTCTTTAACAAACGAGGAAACAATCGCAATATAGCTTGGTATTCTCGGTTCAACTTGTCAAAGGCCTAAAATAAAAAAGTGTATCACGGTCTACATGTCCTGATTTATAAGAGAAGAGTGCTGCAATTTCGTATCGCATAAATATGTAGCTTCTTTTAATAGTGTTTGGTCACACAAAACGCCAATAGACGACCAGGTGGACGTCTTGTGCGCCTTAGTTGTTTAATACAACGGGAAAAACGTACACAAGTTCACGGACTAAACATCTCTACCCAAAAATATTTAAAACGACTAACGGGTTTTATGTAATGACGCTTGTCACCAAAAACGTTCGCTAAACAACCTGATTGTGTTCCCGTAGTTTCTACTCCTCTTGTGGGAATTGAGATAAAGTGACCGGATTCAATGGAAACCATCAGGTTTATAAAGTATCTGCAATAACGAGAGCAACAATCAGTTGCGATGGGGAGAAAATCTGTCCCGTTAAATATTTTGAATACCGACTACAAACTAAAGTCAGTCTGTACATTGACACTGTGATTTCGAGCAGAAGAGCAGTACGTTTGTTGAAGTTACCTAATAATTTCCTTTGGTGAACGATGCCTATTTACAAGATATATATGATTTGGACAGAATCAGGGTTTTAAACCCCCCACAGGTGGGTCATCCATACCCACCAACCCGGTTAAAGTGCAAGACATCCGCTTTTCGTGATCAACAGTAGTGCCGCGAGAAGGCAGTGAGTAGGACTTTCCTGGTAGTGGCTGTATACGCGTGGTCATGTGAGAGCATTCCGAAAGGAAGAGCTAACACTCCCCAACCTCGCCGTGCTAAGCAAATGCACTTGAAACTATATAAGCATCATTAAGGATACTCCGTACACTGTAAAAAAAAAGAGAATTTATAACGAGGCATTAAATTACAACGAACAAGTATACTTATGTAAATATTACTCACCTGTCTGAAATTATCAAGTAACCGAGTTTGCGCTAGTAACTTTTCTTGCAATATGATGACCTTTTGATTGAGTTCCTAAATTTAGAAAGGGTTGGGTTGATAGTAAAAAATTCAACATACACTAGTGAAATTTAGTAGGATGAGGTTATATTCTAAGATTACCTTCAATTGTAGCGCGTAGGCGCTTTATGTTGAAGAAATTATTGTGACGCACTGAACCTTAGTAGCTCATTACAATCACGTTCCTACTGAGATACCGTTAAAAACAAGCAAACGATAAATTTCAGATATATTCAGTCAGTAATGTGACAAACTAGCCAATCAATGATGGCCACAAAAATACAATCCGGCGCATAAAATGATGGGGAAAATACATCACAATAAGTCATAAAATACAGATAAGTAATAGTGCAAATAGTTCTGGATCTTTCATTAAAAGGGGAATTAAGTTAAATCAAGGAGCGTTTAAATGCCACAACTTACTTCAACTTTCAATTCTTCGGATTTCTTAGTCTAAAATTCGAATTTTGAAAACGTTTTAATAAACTTATCAGATACAGAGCTGTATTTCCCAGAGAGATATATCAACTACCGCGATACTGTAAGCGACCTTTTTCATGTCCTATGCCTATCTTCAACATAACTAATTTTGTTGTTTTAGCAAATCCAAGCTATGTTTCGAAAACATCTACGATCGAACACTAGCAACCTATGCAAGTTTCTAACTATGAAAGTTAAAGTTTCATAGACACAAAATAACAGAGACTGATGTAGCACTATACACTTGCCCACTAATTGATAAAGAGGACATCTTAAGTAGCAAATATCAGTTGACAGAAGCCAAACATGCCTCTTTACCTAATCTAGCAAAACATACAACTATTTGACTTCCTATAAATGGACTACAAAGTGATACGAACCACTCCTGAAGAGATACTTACAAAGAGAACGTATGCCAAACATCCTCAAGTCTTAACTGTAAATATCTCCATCAGAAATAAGTGAGAACGTCTCTCGATGGGAGTTGATATCAACAGAAAAATTGTGACGAAACTAAAATAGTGAGAACGAGTAGTTTTGACAACCGCCAATTAGCTTAACTAGTCCATAAAACGACTCACCAAAGTCAATATTGGCTTAAAGTTAAGAGATCTTATAATCATGCACCAAGTATTTTGCCTGTAGCTAAAAGCCTATCGAAAGTTAAAAATTTATTCTGTACATCTACGGCCCTGTCTGAAATAAGCTTATTTGATGGCCTTATATAGTGTTGTTTAAAAAATAGAGAATTAGTAAAAACACAGGTAGTATTATTGGGGACTATCAATACCTGAATAACTTTTTGAAAACTGATTTCTACGAAAGGTTCCCTATCGATTTTCTTTAGATTAGGGTGTGGTGTTTGAATGAACTAATGATAACTTTGTACTTGTTGAATGCTTGATTTCGAATTCTAAATACAGTACATTCGTTTGTGGTTATCTAGTAGTTCTTGATCCGATTACGTTATTTCTGGGATTCCTAGTTCACACTATGATTCAAATACTTATAAATATCACATAGGGTTATCATTTACTCAAAAGTTTGAACAATCAAGCAAGCATTTTGGAGATATAAACATGAATAACCGTGTATCTAAAAGCATAATTTACATTATACTAACATTAAAACGGGACAAAAATCACCTTTACACAGGAAAGTGTTTTAGATACTTGACTGGCAAACATGCAGATGTAAAATAATCGAAATGATACAGTAAACAGATTTTTTAATAACCTACCGACTCTTGTACAGATTGTAATGTACAATTCAAATTGGCAATCTGGTCAACAAGTTGGTAATGAGTCATAGGACTACACAGCAAAGAATGGCCAACAGAAGTAGAAACTTCAGAAGAACTAGGTAAGGCAGTTTGTACGTACGGTTTTTCTATGTCTTCGAAGTTCACTTTATCCTCATGAATACGTAATGGACTACTGATGAAAAATCATAAATTTGAACAAAACTTAAATCAGACTAAACCTAAATATTCTTATCAGATATTTTATTATGTTTAATCAATCAGTTGACTATATCTTTATTGCAGTTAAGTTGGTAAGAAATAAGTCTTCAGTTGTATTTTGGCAGTAAGACAGTGTTTTATACTAATATCTCCATGATGCGATGAAACACAAGATATTTTGAGGAGAAATAGTATTCATAAATAAAAATAATATATTTTTAATATCCCAATGAGTAGAAAATTGGATTTTCTGACGTTTCGTGACTTAGTGTAAATCACTTCTTCAGAGAATATATAACCAAATTAAGATTAATCCAAGTTTAAATAGTACAACGGAACAATTTATTCGAAATTATCAAATCAAACCTTGGTAATGAAACCTAGAAATAGTATTCATTGTTCTTTCACTTTATTCAATATAATTTGTTTCTTACTGTCGTGTCAATCCATCTGATCTCTTCATCTAATACGCAACCTATTTACAACCAACAGGATTTTCAAACATATATTAAAGATCGAGTTTGTAATAAAGCCATGTGCACTACTTGTACTTTTCAACTGAAACATGAGAGCTAAAAGTGAATGATGTGGAAAAACAACAAATAGCTGGAAACCAATAACCGGGAAAGTTGGTTGTGCGCAGAACCACCGAATGAAAAATGGTGTTGAGTATCAAGTTTCAACCACGGATACAAATCAGTTGAAATTGAAAAAATAATTGATTGACTTCAAATTTCATTATGAGGTAGTGATTGGGTTCGTGATAGAGCACGAATTCGGTATTAGAGGTTTTCATACATTAAAATTATCTTGTTCTGTTAACTACAAATTCATTATAAAATACCTTGTTCGTTTTCTTTTGACTTTTTTGTTATTTCAGAAAACTGTGCAGACGCAAATCATTTAAAAAATTTGTCTTTACTTAGTTTTGATCAACTGAATATATTAAGATAATATTAACATTTGCACTTTACATATGTATTTTTCCTAAGAATCCACCGTATGAAAAGTGTACTGAGTTCAGGAAATTAGTTTTCTATATCTAAAGCTAATAATAGGAATTATTAGGAAAGAATCTGCAAACATTTGCAAACCTGTCATTTTCTTTTGCAGTACTGACCACTGTACATCCGTGACAACATAGTGTAGCTTAGCAATAACATACGGACCCTTACTTCATTCTATAATTCACGTAACGTTCTTTGCTTATCTTGTAAGTGCTTCGATACTACTTTTAAGGAAATGTGACAAGTCTTGATAAAATAAACACAGTTTAATTAAATGATGAAAGTCCTTGAAACCCTGGATAAACAACCTTCAGAAAAAACGATTGATTAACTACGTTGTCATACAGTGAAAGAATTTACTGACTGAACCAATCAAATCTAAGTACATAAAAATCATTGTATATATAATTGGTAATAAACAAAAGTAACTGGTTAGACAATAATATTATTTCAAATAACAACAGAAAGTCTGATCATTATGTCGTACAATAAATTAACTGTGAGGTGTATGCTAAACACTTTGAAGCTAGACAAATAACTATCACGGAACCATGTCATTTATGCATAAACATAACATGGTTTTCCTCAATGAACTATTTACATAAGTAATGGAAATGAAAAAATATGAGCAACCTTACATAGTATTTGTACAATTAAGCGTAGAAAGTGCTCTTCGGAGTGTTCTTGACCCGGTATCCACTTCATTTTGATAAACTTCTGACGTTTGTGTTGATTTACATAATTCAGATGTAACAGCTCGGATAGACTGGTGCCCAGTGGACGAGCGACGATCAGTTAACTTCCTTCGTAAAAGATGAAGATTAAAAGATCAGATTACCGAACTCATGAATGAACGACATACGATAAGATGGTGAAATAGGTCACCATACTTGATTAACAGATTTTAGATTTAAATCAAAGTGTATATCGAATTACAGGTATATTGATGATCCTTAACGACAAATATACAAAATCTTGGACATTTTGAGTATTTATATTTTTAGTAAAACAAGTAACATAAAAATTCAACTAAATTACCGTAATTATGTATAAAGAGAGAAAGTAATTGGTTGACAGAATATGAAGGCATTTAGCTTTCTTAGAAAATTCCAACAATAATAAACTTCCGAGAATTATCTCTGTTTAATAACTCACCACGGCATATTGTTGTGAATGATTTAACCGTTGTAACACTGAAAGTCTATACGAGTTTACTATTTGAACTCATATCGCTAAGTGTAATCCTGTCAAATGAACTGAGTTATTGTTGTGAAGTCTAAACATAACAACCGTAATCTATTTTGAAAAGCACAATTATAATAAAATTATACTAATAGATTTTAACGGACAACACTTGGTGGTTAAGATGTTGTTATTTTCGGAGATAACTGTACAACACAAATTAATATGAGATGGAGGACTAGTGAAAACCATAGTCAGTTAGTTTAGTGCCCCATAGTTTTAGACAAACCTCCCAGTTGACGAAAATTACCTTTATAATAAGCGATAAATTTACCGAAACCCATGTATAATTTAACAACTGATGATTCTATAATGATAATTCACAAATTAAAATTAATGATATTTTGTCGATTGGAGTATGTTATTTCATCTGTAATGTTTAAACACACTATTACAAGATGGTCAGTTATATTGGTACTATTACTTCCACAATATTGTTTCTCGATGTTACCTTTAGAGAAAAAAGTACATGCTTAAAGAATAAATATTCCTATAAAACACAATCAAAACATTCTAAATGTACGATTTTCATATTTTAAGCATAAGTTGAAATTTTTGGTTGCGCTGTCTGAAAGTAGTTCTTATTGTTTTTTACTTGAAATCGGACGTAACTTTTCAACAATTGATTTTTATGGGATTTAGTGGCCTATAATATATATCAGCTATAAAATGAGCAGAGAAATGTGTGGGGAGTTTAAGAGATAATTAATAAAAGATACCTTCGTAATTGTAGGACACCATCTTCACGAATGGAAATTAATTCTCTAAGCTTCGCTGCCTCATAAGCTTGACATGTTCCGGATTCAAACATAATTGAAGATGCTTTTTGTCGTAAGATACGTAATTCGGACATTAATTCTATCAAAAAATTTCGAAAAAGAAAAACTAAAAACACGCACATATATCTTGAATGAAGTTCTTGCTAAATAAAGTTGCGAATTTGTACTAACTGAATCACTTAAAAATAAAAAGTCGTTAAAATTAAGCGAACTATAGATAATGATGTGCAAAATTGATTGTTGTGGTTCATCACATAACTAGGCAGTTGCACTTCCCTTCTGACGTGCGATAATATCCTGATAACAACGATGAAATTCAGTTCAGCTGCTATAATACGTAGTGGCTCTGCCATAAGTACTTGTCTTTCGAGCAGGAGACTGTATGTTCACATACATCTTTATCCCCCAGTGTTCAAGAAGCCTAAGATCATCATAAGAACTCTTATAAGATGTAGATAGAAATCAACTTTAATGAATTGAGCTTATTACGTAATAGAGGATTACTTTTATGATGCCTGTTGCTCGTACATCAGCAATTAAAGAAAAAAGAATACGGTATGGATTCGATGTCTATCTCCTAACTGTGACGTTTTGGAGTAAAGTTGACAAAACGTTTAACCGGAGTTATTTTAAATAAATGTAAGGATAACTAAGTTGTAAATTCGAAAACAAAATAAATAGGACTTTAAATAAACGTTGATTGTGGTATACAGATGGATAAAAAGTATAGTAAATCTGGGATGGTGATTACTTTTTTTCAAATGAACAAATAGTATCATGAAGTTGACTCTATTTTTTACTCCAACAGATTACCAGTTTGTCTTAAAAAAGTATTCACACAAATGATTCAGACAAGCAAATAGTTCATGGAAGCTCTGTTACAAACACTGGTTGATATATATATATATATATATATATATATATATATATATATATATATATATATATATATATATATATATATATATATACAAAGGTACACATATAAATTACCACGAATCAATCGACTTTTCGGATCTTCATTGACCATCGCTGAATTGACAATACATGATGCCTTTTTGGCATAACTAAAAATATACAATGTAGTAGAAATAAGGAATTTCTAAGTATCTTTGCAACAAGTTAGTTAAAGAACATGAAAATGACAATTCGTTCACAAAGGCTTCAATTCAGAGCAAACGGGTTAGGAGAAAATCGAAACAGAATTATCAGTAATAAACGAGTCACAGTAACCAACAAAAATCAGCTGGTTGGTGGAGTACAAACAAAACATTCTTTCATCATTCAACCATAAATAAGATCTAAATTGAATTAAAACAACGATAGCTCCTACCGTAAAGTGCTTAATGTTTCGTCGTAATGAGTTTGACAGGGGCTGACAGTTGCCAGCATTACTGTGACTGCATTCCCTCCTAAACTATCCTTCAGTAACCTAAAACGAAAAAAAAACAGAACGAAATGAAAGCATTATAAATCAACAACGTGAAAGTCGATGTAAAATGTTTAGTTGAACTGCACAAATGTATCGAAGTGAACGCTTGACTCTACAGTTTAATCAGTGAATGTAACAAAAATCCGACATTAGCAATTTCGGTGTGACTATAATTTATGGACGACCTTTGGGCGACACTGAAGTGACCTTGAGTGTACATCTACAAACCAGGACCAAATGAGGGTTATAAACCAGCATGAGAAAATAGAATTATGGTTTGCAGTTGATGGTTAAGGTTAAGAATTAGATTCAGGGTTTTCATCACGAACTGATATAAGCTATAATGCTAAAATTCTATTTAGCCAACTGGAAGCATAAATTTCGCATCAAAATCAGAGACCAGGTATCTTATAACCCGACCGCTCCATCCATAAATTATAGTGTCGCCGCAATTTCTAATCGCGTTTCTGCGAAATGAATAGAGCCATGCAACTATAAAGATGTTATCAAAATCATGAACTCATCTAGGTCACATCACCATTTAAAACCCAGAAGCACTGGATGACCTTTCGGTCCAAGCATGGGACTCCTTATAGGTACAAACTGACGATGAAACCTCAATCTAATGCTTTTGAATTTTTAATGGTGATCGAAGTTAGGTTGATCCATGATTTTAATGAAATTCAATAACCTCCACAGTCCTATATCGATAGATATTAGTCAGAAGTTTCAAAGAGTGAGATTTAAATTTCGAAATACAAAGATAGCTTATTTATGAGAATATTAGAGAATGATGGTAAATCAGTTGATGAGGTTGTGAGCCCCCATCGACTGAGATGGTTGGGTCACGTATTACGCATGTCCAACCACCGATCACCACGGAGTGTTGAGTAGTATTGGAGACGGTTGGAAGAAATCGAATGGTGACCAAACAAAGCGTGAAAACAGGCCATAAAGTCACTTACTTCTGATTTGAACCATGTTGGCAGATGCAGATTATTTGGTTGGAGTCTGCGCAAATATCATGACCAATGGTTAGAGACTCTTGGTGACATGGCTCAGAATCGATTACAATGGCGTCGGCGTATTCACTTTATGTCTTCCTTTAAACGGTGGGATTAAAATTATTTTACACCTTTCTTTCTACGAACTAATTCTTTCTTCCTGTACTATATTCTTATACACAATCTTTCGTTCAAACATTACTACCACTGAAGTGACTACTTTTATGAATTTGGTGTACATCTTGTTGTGCTAATGAGGTGTGGCAACTTGGAACAACGCGTATATATTCCTGGAACTACATTGTAGCTGACTGACTGGCTTATGTTGTTCCACGACGGTACGATAAAACCATAGTGTTAACCCATGATAGTCCATTCAATTTATTATTATTGTGCTTGTAGGTATCATTACCTAGGTTTGACTTGACACTTTCGAATAAATTGAACATTGGGTAGATTGTTTTACATAAATTAATATATTGGTAGTATCCCAATTAGTAGAACAACTAGATTTTCCGACGTTTCGTGACTCAGTGTAAGCCACTTCTTCAGAGAATAAATAAATAACCAAATCAAAATTAATCCAAGTTTAAATAATACAAAGGAACAACGCAAGAATATTGTGGCACAGTGTAAAAATGGTAGTTCACTGAGTTCATTTTCGGAAGTGTATTTTATGTGAGCTGAGAAAGTATTTATCATTTTATAAAATTTTTTTACGACGGTTCTTTCATTGTGACAAAAGTGTCATCTACAAATCTGATAAGCGAAATGTGAGGTTAGCTGGTACTTCCAAAATTACGCAATTCTGTATAGGATATGAAAAAATAACGACAACCGATTACAAAGGCGGTTCCATAGCTACTACGTTAGTTTGTTTATACCAAGTTCCTTTGGACGCTAATGAGGTTGAAGTCAGGTCGGATTTAAGGGATTTCATTATTAAGCTAATATTTAATGGACATCTTGCTAGATAGAATATCATCATCTATCAAGTCATTGTTAAAATTTGGAATCCTAGTCTGTAAAAATACAACATCATAGTTTACCATCGTTTCGTTGTCTTTGGCGGTTAGTTCTGAAAAGTTTGACTTAAAATCACAGAAATCTTTAGTGATACTTTTTACGTTATTTCAAAGATGTTTTAGTATACCACTTTTATATTTAGGTATACTATATATCGGAGTGTTTTTGAAGTTTGTTTTAAAGGTATATCAGGTTTATGTATATTTGGTAGTCCTGACAAATAGAATGTGCTGCACAATTTGAAATATAAAGTAAATCATCAGGAGGTATCAGCAAATGACTCGAGTTCTTTAAAAAGTTAGCATGTATCTGATTTAACTGTAATTATTGAAAGATATTATAAGTCTATGTTTATACATGACAGTCGTTTGTACGCTGTCCAACTAAACGGAACAATAAGGACTCGGAAAGATAGGGACACTCGTCGTTGCCTCTTCGTCGTCTCTGCCTATTCTCCCACTGACTGCAGCTCAGATGATGTAAAAGATGAGTTTTACAGAAAGCTTTCGGACCTTCTCCGAAAAGCTAGGCGCTCGGATGTAGTAATAGTGGCCGGTGACTTTAATGCTCAAGTAGGTAAACTAAGCGAAAGGGAAAGACACCTAGGTGGATCTTATGGTGTCGTGGCTCAAAGAACAGATAATGGCGACCGTCTGTTGCAGCTATGCTCAGATAACCGCCTGTTCCTTGCAAATACTAACTTTAAGCATAAGGAAAAACATCTTTTAACATGGCGACCCCCTAATTCGTCCCAACGTTGGACCCAAATGGATCACATCGCTATCAGCCACCGATGGAGGGGCTCGATAGAAGACTGTCGCTCATTCTGGAGCACATGCCTAGATTCAGATCATGCTCTAGTGCGAGCGCGTATTTGCTTGCGTCTTACTGGACGTAGGAAAGACGCTGCAAGGAAACCTCTTAGGGCCCTACTTAATGATAGTCAAGCTAAGAGTATATTTCAGGAACAACTAGGAAAACAGTTAGGCAGCCATGTATGTGATGCCCACCCCGATGCAGCATGGAATGATATCCGAAAAGCTGTGGAAACAGCAGTGATATCTGCTAGTAAGGTAAACCAGAAGGTTAGGGAGCAACACTGGATCTCAGCAGCATCTATCGCACTGATAGATGCTCGGAAACTCATTCCACCTGGCTCTGAACATAATGAAGAGCGGAGTCAGCTTAAGCGCAAGCTGACAAGAAGTCTACGCAATGATCGCGAACAGTGGTGGGTAGCGAAAGCAAGAGAGATGGAAAAGGCAGCGGCAATAGGTAATAGCAGACAATTGTTCAGACTCGTTAAGGAAACCGGAATTAGGAACCCGACCGTTAGCGAAACAATCTCAGAGAAAGATGGACATATTATTCATTCTCAATCCAGGAGATTGGATCGATGGGCAGAACACTTTAGGGATCAGTTCAACTGGCCTTCAGCCACACTTCGGTTTCCCACGATCTCCAGTCAACCTGAATGGCAAGTTAATGTAGGTCCTCCGTCCCTTTACGAAGTTGAAAAAGCCATAGGAAATCTGAAACGAGGGAGAGCAGCAGGCCCTGACAGGTTTACTCCTGAGATTTTTAAGGATGGTGGTCCAGTATTAGCAATGAGATTAACTGAGGTCTTAGGTAGAATTTGGGAACTGGACGTAATCCCATCTGACTGGTCTCAATCACTGATTGTGCCAGTCTATAAGAAAGGACAAAAGTCCTCTTGTGACAATCACAGAGGAATCAGTTTGACTAATATAGTGTCTAAAATATTAGCTTCAATAATACTTCGACGCCTAACCAAAGCTCGTGAAGAGCAGACTAGAGAAAACCAGGCTGGTTTTCGACCTGGACGTGGTTGTATAGATCAGATATTCACACTACGTCAGGTTCTAGAACACAGACACACATTCAGACGCCCCACAATGGTAGTATTTCTCGACCTTAAGGCGGCATTCGACTCTGTTGATCGTGAGGTTCTATGGCAGTGTTTGTCACTGAAAGGAGTACCAAAGAAGTACATTAACCTTATAAAGGCTCTCTACTCGAACACAACTGGTAGAGTGAGAGCTTATGGCGAACTGTCATCAGAATTGATTACCTCAAGTGGTGTTCGTCAGGGCTGTCCACTCTCCCCATTCTTGTTCAACTTTGTCGTCGACGTACTTTTAGAGATAACACTCTCCTCATCTAAATTTACAGGGGTTGAACTTCTACCAGGAGGTTCACTTGTTGACTTAGAATATGCTGATGACATAGTTTTATTTGGCGAAGACGCTGACCACTCTAAGCAACAATGCAAGCATGTTCGGGATGCGATTCCCCCCTCGAAATGCAAAATGTTGCTTCAGGATTGGGTTACATCGACACCCGAACTAGTGATAGGGAGTGAAGTAGTTGAGTGTGTCGACCGCTTCACTTATCTTGGAAGTCTCATCAGCCCTTGTGGTCTGGTGTGTGACGAAATCTCAGCACGGATACAGAAGGCTCGACTAGCTTTTGCCAACTTGCGTCATTTATGGCGTAGGCGAGATATCCGTCTATCAACCAAAGGACGGGTTTACTGCGCAGCAGTTCGTTCCGTCCTACTTTATGGCAGTGAAACATGGCCGGTAAGAGTAGAGGATATTCGTAGGTTACTAGTATTTGATCATAGGTGTCTTCGAAATATTGCTCGTATATCATGGGACCATCGAGTAAGTAATGCAGTTGTTAGGAAACGGGTACTAGGTAAGGATGGCAAATCAATTGATGAAGTAGTGAAACTTCATCAGTTGAGATGGCTGGGACACGTGTTACGTATGCCCAACGACCGACTGCCTCGACGTGCTATGTTCAGTGGTATAGGAGTAGGTTGGAAGAAAGCTAGGGGCGGCCAGACCAAAACATGGCACAAGTCCATGAAGTCACTGACAAGTAGACTGAGTCATGTTGGTAGGTGTAGACTACCTGGTTGGGGACCGCGAGATGATAGCAACCGATGGTTAGAGACCCTGAATGACATGGCTCAAAATCGTTTGCAATGGCGCAGGTGCATCCACTCTCTGTGTTCTCCCAAATTTTGATCTCCTTATTCCTCCTTGTCTCTTTTTTCTCTTCCCAAATTTATTTCACTGTATTATACTCTTTAAGTAACATCTCCAAACACTAATCTTCCCGATTACTGCTTATACTCTTATTACCTCTACCACTACGGGATTTGAATCGACCACTGCATTTCTGTGCTAATGTGGTGTGGCAACTCGAACTGATGTACGTACGTACGAAGTTCCAAGTTGTTACTGACTGACTGATGTTTAAACATGGTTCCTTTGATGAATGTTCATCGATTTTTTCTTTGTAGTCCGTTTTTCTCATGATCACTTGTATTTTATTGACCTTGGTAATTATAATCGTCTCATCTTTTCGTAACGAACGTAGAGCTTTCATTTCCTTTGAGATGTTAGGTGGGAGGCTTTTTTGTTTTGACAAAATGGAAAACTTTTTTTTAAGTATAAGATTTTCTGGTAATTGTTCCAGATGTTCCAGAATCGGTGCGATTTTTCGTGTATCGTGTATCAAGTGGTGTTCTGTGTAAATTGAAATCTAATTATTTTCCTGAAAGCATGGTTTCGTGTTCATTTTTAGTTCTGCATGAAATTTTCAGGTACTATCATTTAGAATTCGCATTATTTAGAAATACCATATGCTATAAATTATTATCATTAACCTACAAACCAATATATATAAACCAAAATTCTCCACATTGTCCTGGCCAGTATTCGCTAGCCTCAATGTTTCCATGTATTCTTTGAACTTTGTGTGTATCCTTAGTTCTCTTTGATCAATATTATTATTTTGAGATAGCCAAAAATCGGAACACTCAGCGCAACTGTTGAAAGGACTAATTTGGTTCAAATACACTAAGGATATATTTCCTTTGTTTAGTCAAGTAACTAATTACCGATTGACATCACGTGTTGAGCCTTTCAAAAACTTTGTGATTGTTTACTCTTATCGTTTGTTGCAATGTCAGTCTATCTGATTGTTACAAAAATCCATTTAAACCTATAAAGACGCCAATCACATTTTTGTATCCTCAAGGTCAGTCATCTACAAGGTAGGACCAGGAATATATACGCGTTGTTCCAAGTTGCCACACCTCATTAGCACAACAAGATGTACACCAAATTCATAAAAGTAGTCACTTCAGTGGTAGTAATGTTTGAACGAAAGATTGTGTATAAGAATATAGTACAGGAAGAAAGAATTAGTTCGTAGAAAGAAAGGTGTAAAATAATTTTAATCCCACCGTTTAAAGGAAGACATAAAGTGAATACGCCGACGCCATTGTAATCGATTCTGAGCCATGTCACCAAGAGTCTCTAACCATTGGTCATGATATTTGCGCAGACCCCAACCAAGTAGTCTGCATCAACCAGCATGGCACAGGCGGGAAGTTAGTGACTTCAAGCACTGATGCACAGCACTGAAACAACATAAGAACTACAACGAATACTTAGATCACAGAATTAAAAATTTCTATAAAATAACGAACACTCTTCGAAGTGCTTTGGTTCAAATCAAGGACAATCCCTGTCGCTTCAACACAACAGTGTGCCAACCGACTAGGATGTGTAGACTGTGGTGCATTCTTTACTGGGCAACCTTCTCGTGAAATCAAGGCTTCTGCCAAATAACATCCAGGCTACACAAAGAGACCTCCAAATAATCATTTAGAACTAGAAAATCTACAAATCAAATTAGCGATAACAGTACATGCTATTATCTAGCAACTACCAAATGAATATTAATAATACCAAAATTACCCAAAAAGGAATACAAGTATCATCTTTCACACCCGCTAACACACACAACTACATACAACTAGGTATCACACAATATGAAATAACCTTGTTCGAAAGAACATAATAAGACTAACATGACTAGACCTATCCTAATTTCGACTGTACTAAAAATATTCTTCTTTGTGTCTCTTGAACTTATGTTTATTCAATTCGTTCATTTTTATTCTGTGAAGAAGTGTCTTACGCTAAGTCACGAAACGTCATAAATCTAGCTTTTACTCATTGGGACTTTACAAATACATTATTTTCACTAACGATGTGTAGGGAGAAGCCACTGGCAGAAAGAATGTTCGTGCAATATGTACACCTAGTTTTCAGTCATACATTAGCATGTTCTGCAATTCAAACTGGTTCTAGACTGTCTTCTCTCGCTTTTCTTCTGGTCTTCGGTGTTCTGCATATGCCATGTTTTTTGAACTTCTGGAACTATTCTCTTTGGCTGTCGACTGTAGCAACCTCCATGAGACGCACTATATACTACTTATAAGCAATCTTGTGAGTACCAATAACCACAGAAAACCTCAATGCTTTAAAATTCTGATCTTATTTTAAATTAACTCTTAATCATTTACTTCTGATACTTAATTTAATTTGTTTGGTTTTTCTAACGCGTTGCAAGTAATTGACCAACTACAATGTTTTAACTCTATCAGCCCCAGTTAGTAAATGACTAAGAAAATCCTTAGTCAGAGAAAAGAAACAGTGCAATTAACTTATGAAAAGACCAGCTGCAACTAGCTATCTTAACCTAGTGAAATACTTCACTAAAATTAAATGGAATAATAATGAGACACGAGCATACAGTGAATGAGTTAATTCAAAATCTTGTGACCACATGTTCAATAATGAGTCAATAATTAGATACTGGTTAAGTGACTACAACTGGATGCATAAAAATATTTAACAAAAAATAACCATAAATATCAACAAACCAGGTTAGCAAAGAATCGCGATAAGAAACAAAATCCCGTCGTTTATTGACCAATCGGCATGGTGTTACTGAAAGCAGTGGACAAGTATCCTGAACAACTGAACGTGGTTCAGGGGATGGAAATGCCCTTCTCTTGTAAGTGATATTCTGGGAAAGTTGAGTGATTACTTTCCCGAGAGTAAACAACGACTTGTTGATTTGACAGCTTTCCTAAAACACATGGTGAATAAAAGTGAACCTATAAAATTGCAAGAGCTCAATGAAGAAAATAATTACATAGGTCACTGATAAAATAACCTTTTCAAAAACGTCATTTTAAAAATCAAAATAATATATTACAAGAAATGAGTAAAAGAAATGGCAGTAAACACTGACAAATTTAATAGTTACGGGAAACATTATGATTATCAACCAATATTTTAGGCTTTTTAGTAATGAGAAGAATCTTTATTTCCTTCAAACTTTCATTCATATTGTTATTAGTCTGAATTATTGGAAACCTCATTCTACAGTACAAACCATACATCCATACTTCTGTAATTTTAAGTTAAGTGTACATAGAGTTGTACTTTTGCTAAATAGTAATCCTTTGCAGTCACATATCAGACGGCTTTCTGATAATCCTATTATCACATAAATTCACCCGTCACACCAGCAAATAATATTTAATCTTTACTATGATTTAAATGACTATTTCATTCGAACTAACAATTCCTAAACTATAAGACCTGTTACAAACCCTTTAAGAAATGAAAGTAAATGCCGGGTAACTGAGTAAGACTTTGAAAACAAGTGACTCATCCAGCCTTCGGACAAAAGGGCTTATTGTAACCGATCCGGAGCCTAAAGAATTGAACAATGGGAAATAAGAACCGGTCAGTTCTTAACTCTACCGAGTTTCGTCAAGCTGACACTTTGTTAAACTGGCTGTCCATTCAAATCTTGTCATAATTTCATAGTGACAAATATGAAGTAAATCTAGATAGACAACTAGTATAAATGAGTATGAATTATTTTACCTTCCTTATTCATAGCAAAATTTAAAATAGGGCTGAGTAAAAATCACGAAATTGTTACCCATTTAAAAGTTTTTACACCACTCCGTAAACAATGTCAAACAAAAACGGGCAAACCGGGCTTAAATATTATATTTGACTCATATGCTATGTTAGTTTTTTTGAAACGGAAAGTCGGTACTTTAAATCGTCAGTCAACTCACATCAGAGATAATAACAACAATAATAATCGCTTTATGCAACACCATAAGTTTGGTTACAGAAAATAATTTTTGGAATATTGAGTAGTTGCTATATATCTACACCTGAAAACGTCTCCAATCAGTTATGCCCCTATGATGTAGGAATCGAAATGTAATCCACACTCGTTGTTTTAGAGGACAGATAAGAAATTATTCAAACTGCTGTGGTGGTTGTGTGTTAACGTCGCACTATTTAGCCTTCCAATACGTTGTAAGCATTCTAAATAAGAACATTGTGCAGTTATAATAGATAATTATTCAGTTAAAATAAATATGAAATGGGACAATTTATCCTAATATTTGTGCTATCGGGTAGTACGTAGGCTATTTATCCGAAAGCCTATAACTCAATATAGGTTCTGGAAAATGTAAACTTTATAGTCTCCCCCTCCTTACTGACTACATTTCAAGGATAGGAATAATGTATCTTAACTAAATCATTCAACAGAAACCGAAAGTTTAGTTCAATCATTTAGTCATACGCAAGTTGCCATACGGTACAAATCTTAGTACTCACTTTTAGTTCTTACATTTCATGCAAGTCGGTTAGTCAAACGCAAAGTAGAACGTGGTATGTGTGCATATCGGGCAAGTTGCCACACCCTATTAGCGATGAGATGAAATTTCCAAGAAAAATCCCACAATGGTAAAAGTAGTGACAGTTTTGTTGGTAATAGGAAAGATTAGGCACTGAAGATACGATTCAAGAACTTAATTAATGAATTAAAGGAAAACTATAAGGGATTTAGAAACTTATAATCTAAGGAAAGAATAAGAATAAATGTACCTATATCATTGCGAATGATCTTGAGCCATGTCATTTAAAGCCTCTTACCATTAGCTACGATAATTACGCTGATCCTAAACAGTTAATTTGCACCAACCTATATTGCTCAGTCCAACAGATACAGCATTCAACAACTGATGCTACGTTTTGGGTTGATCAAGCCTAGCTTTTTTTTCAACATACTTCTACACCAGACATCAGCCATAGAAGTATGCGGTTGATAGATATACGTAATGCATATCCCAGACACCTCAGTCAATGGACATTCACTACCTCACTAATCGATTTCCCATCCATAACTAGAAATTTAAGTATAACCTCTGAGTTGCTAACCCGACGGTTCCAAAATACACAGGAAATGCTATGAAAACACCCACAGTCAAGTACCAGTAAACAACGAATATCCTACTTTTAGGGACCACGTTTCAAAACCATAAAGTAGAATGAAGTGAACTGCTATACAGTAAATCTGTCCTTGCCTATGCCACGGGTGACGCAAGTTGGCAAAAGCCAACAAGGCTTTCTGAATTCGTGTGAAGATTTTGTTTGACACTAACCCACCAGGGTAGGTGAGATTAGTTCACTAAGCAGCATTTTTCAATGAGTGATACTTTTGGTGATACCCAGAAAATGTAACTCAAACTTGCAGTCAGGAATACATTATGAAGGAGAACTAAAATATTAGTATTCCAAAAATGTCACAGTTAAAAGTAGATAACATTGGAACGGATAAATCATCAATAGCTTAAGCTAACTGCTTATCAAGAAAACACCGTTTTGGATAAAGCCCATTAGAAGATGGGTGAGTAGTTACATTGTTACTTATTGTGTTGCAGAACACTAGACCTACTTTTTCAAAGTAGTAAATTTTACTCACTGAAAACACATTCATTACCACGACGTTGTTTAACAGTTAAATGTACTTTCTTATACTTACTATTAAGTGTCAAATTACTAAACACTCAAAAATCCTGCAAAAATAAATCTTTCCAGATAATATATCAACCACCAAAACACTGGAATGGTTGGAAAATATTTACTTTAAAATGCAATACATCACCTACATCCTTAATAATTAAAAAAAATCAAAAAAACACTAGAAACTAATCGTGTAATTTATTTATTACCACTACTATTAATAAGTTCATAGAATCACTGAATACAACTAACATAAATCCCAATATATGAACTATCTTGCAAAATAGTACTCAAATATAATATAAACTTACAATAAAACGTCCACTCAAAGTAGATGTAGATGTTTGACGTTCACTTCCAGCGAGATCAACAATGGTTATGTGACTGTTATAAACGTTTTCAATATCTCCTAAAAGACATTTAGTCTGGAAAAGTTCAAATCAGATAAAGCGTACGTAATCAAAACATAGCTTCGTTGTCATATTCACAAACACTAAATTAGTTAATAACTACAGTAAAATGGATCTAAGTTTGTATTCTGGCTCAGCGAACAGATAATGATGATGGTCTGTTTCAACTGTGCTCCGACAATCGTTTATTTTTAGCAAGCACTAATTTTAAGGATAAGGAGAGACATTGTCTAACATGGTGACTGCCTGCACCAAATCAACAATGGAGTCAAATAGACCATATTGCCATCAGTCATCGTTGTAGAGGTTCAATAGAAGACTGTCGCTCGTTCTGGAATACCTGTTTAGACTACGATCATGCTCTAATACGAGCACGCATATGTTTGCGCCTCGCTGGACGCACCAAAACCACATTAAGACCCATTAGAGTCGAACTCAATGACGAGGAAGCAAAAAGTAGATTCCAGGAACAACTGAGGTCACACTTACGTAGTTCTGAAAACGAGGTTGAACCAGATGTTGCTTGGAAAGATATACGAACAGCTGTGGAAACAGCAGTAACATCTACTAGTGATTTCAACCAAAGGGTTATGAAAAACGCTCTCAGGTCAATAAGACCATTCCTAACCCAATTTCCTTTCCAGATAACTCCAGAAGAACCCTTCCACAGCGTGAGAAACCGAGAGGTGATAACCGCCACCGTACCTTTAACAACACTCAATATCACGGTATTCATAATCAATCTCTCTCTTCAATCTGTATTATTTCTCCTATGTCGACTTTCGACTCTAAACTTCCTCTTTTGACTTCCTCCTCCTTCCACTGAATTTCTACTAAGTCTATTTCACTGATAGATTCTCGTAAACTCATCATCATATCAGGCTCTGAACACGATGAAGTGCGAAAACGAATCAGACCCAAGTTAATCAAAAGTCTAAGGAACGATCGTGAGCAGTGGTGGGCAACGAAAGCAAAAGAGATGGAAAAGGCAGCGGTTTTAGGTCATAAAAGAAAGCTCTTCAGACTAATAAAAGAAACCGGTATTAATAGGTCAAGTGTAAGTGAAACTACCTCGGAAACAGACGACACTCTTATCTGCTCTCAGCCTAAACGTTTAAAACGATGGGCGAAACACTTTGAGGAGCAGTCCAACTAGTCTTCAGCTACTCTACAACTACCCACCATTCCCAGACAGAGTGAATGGGACATTGAAGTAGGTCCCTCGACTCTAGTTCAAGTTTAAAAGGCTATAGTTAATATCAAACGAGGAAGAGCAGCTGCTCCAGATGTCTTTAAGAATAGTGGTCTAGTTTCAGCAATTGGGTTAACTAATATTTCACCTAAAATCTGGGAGTTGGACGTAATCCCATCTGACTGGGCACAATCACTGATTGTCCCAATATATAAGAGAGGGTCAAAATCATCCTACGACAACCATATAGAGATTAGTTTAACCAACATAGCATCTAAAATACTAGCATCAATAATCATCAGGTGCCTAGCAAAGACTCGTGAACTGCAAACACGAGAAAATCAGGTTGGCTTCAGACCTGGTCGTGGCTGCATAGACCACATATTCACCATTCGTCAGGTTCTAGAACACAGGCATGTTGATCGGCGTCCGACAACAATAGTTTTTTCTTGACTCAAAAGCAGCATTCCACTCTATAGACCGAGAAATTCTGTGACAGTGTCTGTCATCGAAAGGTGTACCTCAGAAGTACATGAACCATGTGAAGGCCCTCTACCCGAACACCACTCGTCGAGTCAGAGCTTATGGCGAACTGTCATCTGTTTTTACAACCTCAAGTTGTGTCCGTCAAGGCTGTCCACTATCTCCATTTTTGTTCAAATTCATCATAGATGTACTGATGGAAACAACGTTCAGGTCCACTGAATTTTCGGGAATCCATCTCCAACCAGGAGGTTTACTTACCGACTTAGAATATGCAGATAACATAGTCCTGTTTCGTGAAGATGCTGGTAAAATGCAGAGCCTTTTCATAACACTGAGCAACAATGCCAGAATGTTTGGGATGTGCTTTTCCTCCTCTAAATGCAAGTTATTGTCCCAGGACTGACCTGCGTCAACATCTGAACTACGGATAGTGAGTGAAATAGTCGGACGCGTCGACAACTTCACTTATCTTGGAAGTCTGACCAGCTATAATGGGTTGTTATCTGACGAAAGCTCTGGACGGATTCAGAAAGTTCGTTTGGCTTTTACCTACTTACGTCACATATGGCAAAGGCCAGATATCCGTCTATCAATTAAGGAACAAGTATACCGTGCAGCAGTTCGTTCTGTCCTACTTTACGGCTGCAAAACGTGGCCATTAAGAGTAGAAGATACTCGTAGGTTACTAGTATTTGACCACCGATGTCTTAGAAATGTAGCTCGCATCTGCTAGGATCATCGGTTAAGTAATAGTGATGTTATTTTATACCTTTCTTTTCCCGAACTAATTCTTTCTTCCTTCTTGACAAAATGTTACTTATATTAACACAAATTCTGATTGTGGAATCAATAACGTAGAATTCATTTACATCACAGTTGTGATGTAACTGTCATATAGAACGTTATTATGCGTTTAACGAGTAAACTTCTTTATGAATGTAGTAAAAACTTATTTATGCACACCATCATGGTTAAGGGTTATGAGACAATAACAGGGTGACACTAGATTTAAGTCCGTCATAAGCAATGTAAAACCTGGCACATGTGTACATTGATCAAAGTCGCTCAAACACAGCGAAGTGCAATTAGGAGGAATACCAAAGTAGTAGTACTAAGAGTACCAGTGACACATGAAAACACCAGACATACACAACACGATCCGAGAAAATATAATTATTTCGAGTAATAAATGACAAAATAATTTAGAAACTCAGAATCTAATGGGAGATTAAGAGTCGATATACATGAACCATCCCACCCAACTTCTAAAACAGTCACGACAATCAAGCACAGTTCAACTAAGTAGTCTTTACTTACCAAAATGATTCGGGTCGACAATAACAGTTAAGTGTATGACCATATTTATTTATTTGAACACATAGATATTGGTTAAAACAGGCACCAAATACATATGCGCAACACATCTCATTCGATATGTGTGAGGGCTGTGATACTGCCCGGGTGCCCAAACCGAAGCAGGTGGTTTTCTTAGGGGGCCACTCCCCGAGCCTTCGAACCAAAGGTCTGATCCACAAGGCAGTGGAGCATCGCAAGGAGATGCAGTCCCATGGAAGCCGGTGACCAACAATTGGTTCATACGCCATTTGTTCCTTTAGGATACCGGAGCCCATGTGCACCATTGGTTTGAAATCAGGGTTTTCCAACTCCCCTAGGTGGACTCTCCATGTCCACCAGCTCTGTTCAAGCGCCAGATATTCGCTTTTTGTCCTCTCAATTTCGTAAACAACACCCACGCCGCGAGAAGTCAGTGAGTAGGACTTTCCTAGCAGTGGCTGTATACGCGTGGTTATGTGAAAGCATTTCGAGAGGGTGAGCTGACTCCCCACTGTCGGCCGTACCAGGGCATTTGGGGGCTACGATCATAAGCTACTGGATGCTAGAAACACTGAAGCCGAAAGTTCACCTCATAATCTACAACCATAACAAAGAAATATTTGAAGATAAGGCTCTAAATGTTTATAATATCGCTTAAGTTCAGGGAGTCAAAACTCCTACTAGTAGTTATCGATATTTTATTACAAAATATATATAGTACAACTTTATTGTTACTTTTGACAATGCTACGGTATGATAGAATAAGAGATCACTCAAATTATTCATTTTGATTAATCGAATGTTTTGTTATCTAGATAATTCCTAATGAAGCCGATATTCCACACTAGTTTCCGTGCACTGTACACTCGATCAGTCAGTTTATAAATATTAGGTCAACGAACAGAGAAAATTATATCCAATAAAGAGCTCACATGGAATTTTTCGAAGGCATTAATCGTGTAAAAAAAAGTTGGAATCTAACTAATGCTCATCATATATACATATGCTAAATAATAGTATATTACTTTCGACATTAATGAACGGATTCAAGGTTGTTACAACTAATAACAATATGAAAATGCAGAAACATGACAGAACGGATGATCGATTAAATGTCCAGCTGTTTGAAATCCTTCGCATGTACTCTGAGTGAATGAATTCTTATTACCAGTAAGTCGCTGCAAAGTAATTTACAGATTTTAACATCTATGCGATACAATAGTAGAAAAATTTATGAAACTTACAGTTGAACGCTTCGTCAATGATAATACGAGTACGGTGTGTGAGCGACTGCTGTTTTCGTTCAGAGGTGTGGCAGCCACAGCACGTAAACGATTCCCAACATCAAGTCGTTTTATGATATCTGATTCAGACCAAACCTCTTCACATAACAAACCATCGATGTATGGGCCAGTTACTGGGTGTTCACGAACTACAAGCTGGAATTTAAACGATAATAAACATGGATAATAACAATAAATTAACACTTTTTGAATAGAAAAGGATTCTTTCATAGGTAGTAGGATATCAAAACTTCTTTTAAATCAAAAACCAGTTACGTTAATAAGCTAGAAAAGACTAGCCGATTTTAAAAGATACCGACTACGAACAAATTGCGAAAGACGTTATTTACGATGGTACTTCGACATGAAATCTTCCCAGAATATGGAGACTCACATATCGAATTCTAAATGGTATCCAATCATGTTCTAGGCAGTAAAATTATGTTGATTAAAAAATCCAAACTTTCTAACTAATGAAAGTCAACCGTACCCAACATAAAGCCTGGCACAAATTTATGTTCTCATATTCTACCAGCACGACTAGATTAAATTAGCAAAGTGGATAGCAAGAATCTAAACAATAGTACTGTAAATGAAGGTAAGAAAGATTAATCATGGAAGAATATAGTGTGATATGAGCTCAATGGATAAAGTATGAAACATTATCAAAGCTCAAGATTATTGGAAAGATAGAAACCGAACTCACTTGCACCATTATGACATCCTAAGCCATGTCAATGTCTACGAACAGTCAATCATAATGAACGTAGAGCCCGGCACAAATTTATTTTAACTCGTTTCCACACCCATTAACACGATGAGACGAATTTAAGATGAATGGCAAAGGGACTGAAATTATGCAGTGCTAGTGATGTTAAAAGACTAAATATTGAGAATATAATTCCGAAAGAAAGAGTGGACAGGTATATATGAAGGAATACTAGGACTAAAGATGTATAGAAAAATGGCTGAATGCATCCGTGCCAGTGACCGATTATGAGCTGTCACAAAATATCTTCGAGCACAGATCGCAGTTATTGTGCGAATCTATGCTAAGTATTATATTCTTCTACGCAGCTTAAACCAGTAATCAATGAATTCACAGACTTGCTTTCTAACTAGTGTACCATAGTAAATGATGATCAACCCTAATGGTTTGGTGTCTGACGAAATCTCTGCACGGATTCGAAAAGCTCGTTTGGCTTTCGCCAACTTACGTCACATATGGCAAAGGTCAGATATTCGTCCATCAATTAAGGGACAGGTATACTATACAGCAGTTCGTTCTGTTCTACGGCTGCGAAACATGGCCATTAAGAGTCGAAGATACTCGTAAGCTACTAGGTCTTTGACCACAGATACCTTAGAAATATCGCTGGCATCTACTGGGATCACCGGGTAAGTAATAGTGATATTAAACGCAGGGCATTAGGGAAGGATGGTAAATCAATTGACGAGGTTGTGAATCTTCATCGACTAAGATGGTTGGGCCACGTGTGACGTATGCCTGAACACCGATTATCACAACGCGCAATGATGAGTAGTGTTGGGGATGGTTGAAGAAAGTTAGAGGCGGCCAAACCAAAACGTGGCATCAGTGCCTAAGGTCACTAACTTCTGGTCTTAGCCATGTTGGTAGATGCAGACTACTTGGTTGGGGTCCGCGTGACTATTGCAACCAATGGTTGAAGTCTCTTGGTGACATGGCTCAGAATCGGTCACAATGGCGTCGGTGTATACGCTCTCTGTGTTCCCTTGAACTAAGAGATTAAAATTGCTTCATATCTTTCTTTCTACGTACTAAATCTTTCTTCCTGTACTATATTCTTACATGCAATCTCTTATATATTACCACCATTGAGTTAACTGCTTCTATGAATCCAGTGTTCATCTTTCTGTGCTAATGCGGTATGGCAACTTGGACCGATGCATATATGCGCCTGGTCCTACGTTGTAGCTGACTAACTGCCTGAGGACTTCTGCTGAAACATGTTCTCTTTCCCATTTTTACTGCTGTTGATCTTAACTCCTACTACCCATGAATTTCTACTGAGTTTTATTTATCTGTGATGTGACATGGTAACGTGAACCGATACACATGTGTCAGGTTTCACACTGAACATGATCGACTGACAGATTTCCTAAAGCACACTCCGGATGCAAAAAAATATCAACCAGTAGTGTTCTGATTCATGTTTTCGCTCCCCAACGGTGTAGAAACAGAAAATCAATAGTCCTACAAAAATTACTGTTCACAAATAGTGGGGGTTAATATCAAAGCAAACTGATAATTTTTATCTTACCCCGTTTCTAGTAGAGTTCGACGAGAGGAGGTCACGTATTCGTTCATTATATATCTCATAATAACTCATTTTAACAGAAAAACTTGTAGTGGGTTCCTAAATTAACATCAAACAGCATCAACCACCAAGAATACCGTTCTTCTTCCAATTTCCTCGAACATGTCTTTTGAAATCCTCCGGATTATTCCTGGATCATCAGGAGGTCCAGTTATACTATATTTAAAAGATAGAAAGAATAAGAAACACATGGAGAAATAACTTAGTATTTGTGGACGAACTAGTCAGATTTAAGATAACAGTCTTGGATCTTGGTGCGGAGATCATCCACCAAACTGGTTAATTAGCATTTTGGCATAACAGATTATGTCAGTTCGTTTATTTATTTGAACACATAGATATTGGTTAAAACAGGCACCAAACACATATGCGCAACACATCTCATTCGATATGTGTGAGGGCTGTGATACTGCCCGGGTGCCCAAACCGAAGCAGGTGGCTTTTCTTAGGGGGCCACTCCCCGAGCCTTCGAACCAAAGGTCTGATCCACAAGGCAGTGGAGCATCGCAAGGAGATGCAGTCCCATGGAAGCCGGTGACCAACAATTGGTTCATACGCCATTTGTTCCTTTAGGATACCGGAGCCCATGTGCACCATTGGTTTGAAATCAGGGTTTTCCAACTCCCCTAGGTGGACTCTCCATGTCCACCAGCTCGGTTCAAGCGCCAGATATTCGCTTTTTGTCCTCTCAACTTCGTAAACAACACCCACGCCGCGAGAAGTCAGTGAGTAGGACTTTCCTAGCAGTGGCTGTATACGCGTGGTTATGTGAAAGCATTTCGAGAGGGTGAGCTGACTCCCCACTGTCGGCCGTACCGGGGCGTGATAAAAACCCTAAATCTACCTCCTTACCCTAACGTACAGCTGTAAATCCAAATCCTGATTCCTCACACCACTATGGGATTTGAATCAAAAATTGTATCTCTGTGCTAATGTGGTACGGCAACTTAAACTGATGTACATAAGTACGAAGTTCTACGTTGTTGCTGACTGTCTGACAATTTAGCACCGCCCAAAAGTCGTCCGTATATCCGTCTAACCGTTAAGTAGATTATAGTGAACCCCTCAAGAACTTATAGTAGGGGGAATAGTGTAACTTGTTCGTCAAGCACAGGTTACGTACTTAGACTTCAGCAACAAGTTTTTGTATGAGGATTAATAATTTTACTGTTAGAGAAAACTTAATTAAGCCAAACAGTTTGGAAATAGAACTGAGTAGGTGAAAGCCAAAAGCTTTAACTACCGACCAGAACGACCAAAACTTTCTACTTGTAAACTACTAGAACACTGCAAAAATAGGACTCCAGTAATTTTAATAGATTTGAAACAATAAAACTGGATAGACAATAGACACAAATAAGAATATAGTTTGAAGATACAAAAAGTACTACACCCACAGAAATAACTGCGTAACCACATGTTCAAGTCTTTTCCCTATCACCTTTTGTTTTCCTTTCAAGTAGAACACATTGTTCTACAATTGCCATAAATTTGTTAGATATATCTCAAACTTGAGGAGTCGGAATGGGATCTTTAAAAGATGACTTGAAAAACTGAGTAAGTATCCTCCAATGTGCGTTAAAAAGCACACCAATTGGTGTTTTATGCACTTGGATTTGAGCAACTTTGTGAGTGCTAAAGATACTATTTTACTACCTAAACTAAAGTAGGGGAAGAGTGAACAAACAACCTATTGATTGAACCCTCATCCTTTGGTCGCATCTGAAATCCTAAGGATAAAACTATTCCTCATGAATATTTATGTAATGAAAATCAAAGATGTTTACCTATATGTTTTCCCAGAAGAAGTCATTCCGTATGCGAAAAGGCATGCATTGTAACCATCTAAAGCTCTTAATAATAGTGGAAGCCCAAGTGTTCGGTACACAAATTCCTGACTTGCATGTGGCACAAGACTTGATCCATCGTTAAGTGACCAAAATGTGTGGTCGAATTGAAACTCACGAACATTGTTATTCTTGACATTGGGTACGAACACACGGACAACACCTGGTTCAGGGATCCGAACAAGGCACTGTAGGTTGTTTAAGGCCTCCCTGAATACATAACCTTAGGTCAGACGACTTACAGTTTTGTTAAAGGCCTTATCCTAACAGCGACAATAATTGACGACTCCATAAGGAACGGACTACCGATTTGAATGAGTTATCGCGCCTTTTAAACAAATGCTTGGGAATCTATGGTGACCTGGATATACCTCAACTATCCGTTCAGTTACAGTATCTTATCAGTTAATCAATAGAAAGAAGGAAGATCACATTTTCTTAACGACAGTTTAAGTAATTCAAGATATCAATTAAGATTTTATATTTCTATCCAGAAACCCGAGGGGTTCAAGTCTGTGTTATTCGCTTCTTGCTATGTTTCTCGGCCCCTTCATTCATGACTTTTGACTTGATTGTGTTGGTGTCCTATTATAAAGGTGTTGCTGGTAAACATGTTGCCCAACGCAAATTCTCTGTGACATCTTTTATAGTAAGCCCAACACGATCTGGTTCACTAAATGACGAATGTGAGTACGCTTCTTGATGGAACACTATACATGTCTCTTAGTCTTTATTTTTGCATACGCTGATATTATTCTTATATTTTAGGATATTTATTTTCCCGCTCATTTGTATATTTTATCCTCATCATGACAAAACAGGCGTTCCTGATGATGAAAAAGTGATCCGTGCCTTCGGCAGACGATAGGCAGCAAACTTCGGCTGTCCTTCAACGATTACTACGGACCGTGGACACAAGTTCGAATCTGCACTTTTCCGTCGTCTTACTGCACTACTAGGAACCACATGATTTCCAATGACCAACTACCATCCACAAGCTAACGGGTTGGTAGAACGATTTCACTGACATTCGAAAGCTTCACTCTCACCTGCAAACACCTCTTAACGGACTGACGCTCTATCACTCTTTTCACTCGGCATTCGCGATGCAATGAAAGCTGACATTGGATACACTACAGCTCAACTCATCTACGGAACAATAGTCTGATCTCCAGGGAAATTTGTAGTGGCTGGTACTATGTCGGGCCCACATGAGCTATTCTAGCTTCTGGACAGACTAGTTTATTCGTTCTGTTCAGGTCATATCCTGACCACATTTGATTAGAACGAGTTGGCACAACCGCCTTCTCCAGAGCGCATCATTTAGTTTTGCTTACCTTTCTACTCTCCGCTTCTTTCGCCTCGTTTCTCTGACTGTCTGTCCAGATCGACGATTTCATGGAATATACATATTCGAAATTTATTTTGGTATTTGACTTATTGCATTCCGTTATTCACTAACGCAAGTTGAGTCGGTGACTACATACGAGGCCAGTTGAGATGTATATTTAGATGACAATCAGAGTGCAATCTAACTTCAGTCAGATAAATGGCCACAAGAGATTCATCGATCCGTCATCTTCTTCATTGTTTATGGGTCGAAACTCTTACACGAGCAGGCTTGCAAACACCGTGCACTCAGTTCGACCTGTTTCCACTCGACCACCGTGTATTGATGTTTTCGTTCGACTTGTCCCACGATATAGCATACAAGTTTTCGCATGTTGCGATTCACTGCGACAACTCTTCGAATGGCAGATGAAGGACCTTCAAAGTTCTACATCGTAAGCCTAAATACTATATCACTGGCAAAAGCGAAACTAACAATAATATCGGTATTGATTGTCATAACATTTTGTTTTCTTGCGATAATTAGGAGTATTTGAATTGTAATACGAACTAGGAATCCCCAAAATAGCGTAACTTAGACCAAACGGAACTACATGAACACAATAATTCAATACCAGGCGCATATCAAATACAAAGGGTTCACTAGTTCATAAAATAACCACAACTGTCACAGTTTGGAAGATGGCACAGGTACTCAGTGTTTGACAACGCTTTTACCAGCAACACCTGATAAAATTCTTAACCACCAGCAAAAATCAAAAAACAGAGTCGAGGAGATCGGAAGAGTGTATTTGGCGGTGACCAATATATCGGAATCCTCTGATCTAATCTGGCTAGCGATTGCGGTAGATG